CAAAAGGAACGCAAGACGAAGACTAATGCTCCGCCAAAAAATTGATTTGAATACTCATATTTCGCATATTACGTATACGGACCATCGACAAAACGATTAAATATTCCGATTAAATATTCATTTGCTGACGCAGCAGCGCGTCACTTAATACAGCGATTCGATTCTCGAACGTCGGGGGTCGACGTTTCGATGTTATTTCTTATTATTGCTTTTGCCGTTCTGATTATTGCTGTTTGCCTACGTCAAAAACAGTTTGTATCTGTGTATCTGGGCATCTGAGTATCTGTGTTTCACGACTCCCCCGGCAGCAGCTACCGGTTTTTCAAAAGCAATCTCTTGAATTCCCACAGCGGCAGTGCAAAAAAACAAAAAAAAATCAAGCAGAAACAGACATCGTATAAACATGGAGCTCTCTGGGCTAGATTTGTTTGCATCATGTGAGTTCGCCAACGGACGGGTATATTCGCTTTCCCATCACTGCAAACGGCCACCTCACCTTTTAATCCCCAATAATTGAAATTCTGATCGGCACAAAGATAACAGTTTCCTTTGTCAACAAGGCAAATAATAAACAACTATCGAGGCGCAGTCTTCTACGGCATTGTTAGCAGTGCCAGCCCAAGAGGCTTACACCTTTCAGTGCGCCAGGCTTTGTTGTCTGGTAATGAATTTAATTTGCCAGGATAATTGCTTTCCAAAACCATTCAACAGCTTTGGAGTATCGGTTTTAGTGACAAGGAATAAGCTTTTAAAATGGCAAATAAAGGTGGCAATAAAGAATATATACCGAAAACAGGACAGGATGAATGGTTTCTAGATCCTTCGGGATTATATAAAGGGGCATACAAACAATACCTTTGTTGTAAGACCAATCTATAATTGCTTATACCAATTATTCGGTTAGTTGTGAAAAAAACTACATTTATAAAACTCCTGCTTGAAACACATTTTTAAAAATATTCTTCTTTATTTTATAAATATTCCGAAGTAAATATTGGTAAATGATGAGGTACCCTTACAGTCGATCACCCAAGACTTCCCTTCTTTATCTGCATCATCGTTCGCATATTACTTATACGCGTCAAAGTGTTAATGAATATTGTTTTTACCCGTCAGCGGAAATGTTCAGTGCTCGGATATCTGGCATTACTTTCAGGGAGTTAATGCACGCCCCATGTACTTTGAAGCAGATCGTTATTTGTGGCACTTTACATATACAATTAGGGCGAGTGTGGTGCGTGGCAACAATCAATGTGTCTTCAATTTGTCAAACAACAATCGTTTTGATTGCAATTACCAACAAAGAGAGAGGGCTTCCTCGCCCAGATACAGCTTCGGCGTGATTAGTTGGTTCCCGGGGATGTGGGTGGTACGTGCTGCAACTGCAGATGGAGCAAAGGGCACAGACCGAAGACCAAAGGGCACAAAAGACACACAGCCACAGACCGCATCCAAGCCCATCGAGTGGCTTCCCCCTTTCGGCACCAGGAGGACGTCCGTCATCCTGCTGCCAGAGATTGTGGGTTTGATGAGCTGCCCAACGGCCAGAGCTGCCTACTCTATACTCCACATTCTAGTGGCCCCAGGTTTGCGTGCGATAATTAACATCTAGATTTTTAACTGCTTAGCATACATACAACATAACTGGGGCTTGTTAGACCCGCCCGATAAAGAGAACTGCCACTGGGGACCACTTGGAACGAATTCGCGTGTTTCTCTGCTGTGTTTGTTGCCCACTCACTTGTTTACTTGGCCAACGGTCAATGAACTGCTTTTCCAGTTGGCAGCGGCACCTGTCGCTCCCAGAAACAACAAGTACTCCGAAATACGAGAAAAGGATCCGAATTTTCTTGGTATTCCAGGAAGTAATGACAAAGAAATTTGAGGATGCCTAAAGCTTCAACACAGAAGTGCTAGAATGTACTGTAATATACCATTATGATTCGGGAAATCATAAACAGAAGGAGATTAGAAGGAGAGTTGAAGACTAACATGTTTTTGACATAAACGAAAAACATTTTCCCATTTTAGGAAGAAACGTCTCCAAGTGCAAAACACTCTTGAATCATCTACTCTATTAAGAACGCAAGATCGTGATTCCCCCTAAATGTTAGCCATAAATGGATTTGCGACATCAAAAGACACCGCCAAACAAGTTGCGGCTGCTGTTTCTTAGTTCGGCGATAAGCTTCTGAGTCCCTGCTTTAATTGTTCACTTTTAGTTGTGGGATTCTAATTCTATTCGCTATCGCACTGTAAATTCCGCTCTTTATGGCACTTGGTCCAGCTGATAACTAGAGTGCAGCGGCAAACTTTTGAGCTGGGACCAAATTAAATTTCTCACTTCATTCGGACTTGAAGAGAAGTCTTCTGAATTTCAACGTCTGCCTCTTGGTATAATCAGCATTATGACCGGGCATTAGGGAGAAATTTATGCGGCGATGGCGACGTTTTTCCCCCCCGACTCCCCTCGACCACCGCAAAACCACTTTAATGCGACGTCATTTTAATGCCTCGAAGAGGAAAAAAGAAAGGAAAAACTAGCAGAAGAGGAGAAATAACAGACCAGCTCAGAATGCAAACATAATTTTCCCTAATGCCAGCACAAAGGAAGACGAGTTTGGCATTTGCAGTCATTAAGGAACGCATTCAATTAGCCAAAACAACTTTATAGAGCAGCTGTTTTTGTTGTTTCTGTCCAAGGGGCGTGGCCTTTCAGCCATTGGATGAGCCAGCAATCACGGAATGCGGCCGCAGCACCACTATCGCACCACTTGCACCACCAACAACCAGCAAACCACCAGAGTCCAGCGATAAGCCAGCGTTTTGTGACGCACTGCTTCCGCTGAGTGACGTAGGTCGCTCAAGACCCCAACATCCGACCCCAGACCCCTGTGATCCCCATCCGATTGGATCCCATATATATAAATATTCCAACATACGTGCTGCCGATAGCATCGACGAGCGACAATCTGACAACTGATACGGGAGAATTGCTTTTGCAGACCAACTTTGACAGGCAATGACTTCTACTTGACTTGCATACTCGTTTGGGGTCATCGGAAATGATATCCCAGTGTCAAATTAATCGTGTGAGCGCCCACATGGCAATCTGGTAAAACAATTGCTAGTCTAGGACAGTCGTGTGATGGACAGCCCATAATTAAGTGCTTGGTTTAATGAGATTTGGGTTGGTTTACCTTAAATAAAGGACTAATTACAACAAATGCAGCATTATTGGTAAGAGGATTGGTAACTTACTCTAGAGAAACAGTAATCTCGTTCAAAAGTTCAGTCGCATAAGTCATTCGGCAGTTATTGGGTACGTATTCTTGCGAAATGAAAACGCATCCAGTAAGCCCTTAAATCTCCTGCAGATCTCAGAGTTCTCATGCCACCAATCCGACAGCAATAAGTCCTTGTAAATGAGTGACTAAAGAAACGTATTCTCCCGACGCGAACAATCATCCCTGCTTTCTCCATTTGCATTTGCTTTTGCATACTTCAGCTGGCGAGGAGAATAAAATTCAGCAATAACTTTGCCGGCCAGAAAATATGACGGGAAGACGGAAAAGACCAGAACTTTTCCGGAGAGAGAAGAATAGGGCTGGAAAAACTTTATGGCAATGGATTTTTCCTCATCTCGTTGCCGGCGGCAGTTGGCGGCGCGACTTCATTTCAAGACATCTCATCCCTCTTCCCCCTGCTTCCCCAAAAGACAAATTCACTTTTTGACTCGTAAAATGTATTGCAAATGTGTATGCTCATCCTAGCTTCTAGCTTCTATAGCCCATTGCCATTCCGCTCTGCTCTAAAATATTACATTACTACAAATTGAAATTTTGCGCACGTTTCTGTCATTTAAATCTGTTGAGGCGGCCCGAAACCAAACGAACCAAAGTATCTGCCAGATACTTTTTGCTGAGCGAAGGGGAGGGGTAACCGGCTTTTACTATCAGGCAGACGGCAATAAAATAAATAACATTTAAAATGAAATATTTGATTGGGCCGCATGCAAAAGGATACGATACGGCTGGTTGGTGGCTGGTGGGGCACATGCAACATGTTGGGGATGTTGCAAGATGCCAACACTGAAGGTGACCTTTGCACAAGCCCCGCTCCTCCGCCGGCTAATGCATAACTTTGCATAAATTTCCCACAACCTAATCGCCAAAGTTGACTCTGCTGTAAATAAACAGAACAATGGCGCCAACAAACAGCAGCGAGCGAGGAAAACTCGATGGTGGGCGAGTTTTCCAAGATGACAGTGAACTTGGTTGGTGTGTCGGTGGTGTGGGCCCTGCAATTGAAGTGTGACCTCGATAACGAACTGAAGTGTATCTGCGGGTGCGTCCGCCCAATAGAGCACTTAAAGCCCGGCACCATGGAGCATGAAAATGAATAAGTTGCTGGAGCGCAAACATTTAACGCTTCATTAACTTTAGATAAAGCCCAGGACCAGGCAGAACGCCCAGCGAGGACAACATCGGCCCGGACAGCCCTCACATCCCGCAGCCTCCCCTTTTTCGAAGGCAAAATTCGAGCCCAACTTCAATCCATACAATTAAACAGACCACGCTGCAATGCGGCAGGTGGGGCGGCAAAAATCGATGACAAGGTGACAGCACAGAGCACTTCAGCACGTGCCTGCCAAAAAAAGTCTGTCTAGTGGAATTTGATGGTGGAGAAGATGCTGCTATAGCAGCTGAAAAGAATTCACTTAAATTCTTTTATAACATATTTTCCAAAGTTATTGAACTTTTAACACTTCGCTTGGCTTGTTGAAGACATGCTGTTTATTCTGACCTAAAAACAAGTTCAGTTTGTCTCTTGCTAAAATGATTCTCTAATCTTAAAAAGCATACCAATCTGTATATGCTCTTTCCTTATTTACATAAATTAAGACTGTAATTGCCAACTTGTCCCTTGTGCACATGGTGAAACAAATTCGGCACTCAAATATTTAAGTATTCACTTGCTCAGAAAATAAAGCCACTTACCTTCTCTCGCTTTCAAGTAGACCGTATTGGCCACAATATTCTCTAATTCCATTAGTTCCAGGTTGGCGGTTTTTTAATGAATCCTTTGGCGCTCTCGAAAAAATAGTCGCAGTCGCACTGGCTGGTTGGTCCTTCCCCTTTGATGTGGTTCCCGTGTTTGACCTTGGCTGGCTCCTTTGCACAGGGATCCTTTCTGCTTTTCACTTGGCTCCTGGGCGACTCCTTAGACTTGCAAATCTACGGCTGGCTGGCTAATTTGTGGCCGTCGTCTGGCGTCCAGCGTTGCGGTATTTGGCAGCAGGGTTTCGGTTTCCGTTTCAGACACAGGCGTCATTTAGTTTCAAGATTGGAATTTGCAAGGCCGAAATGTGCCCTTTTGTGCAAGTTGAACCAATTTGCGCTTGATTGAATGTGGGACTGCTGGCCAATGGGTTTCCTCAATCTGCAAGTAAATGTAAGCGATAAAGGCGTATAAATATCTTAGTTAATTGGATTTGACAAGGGATTGCTGGGATAAAAGGGGTCCTTACGATGCGGGTTAAATGGGGCCATTTAGGGTGGCTTTCAGTGAACTATATTTTCTGTGCATTAGGATTCTTTTGGCTGAAAATCATCATGAATTTAAATGAGTTCCCTAGCAATTTAATAGCAATTAATTAATGACTCTCTCAATTATCTCTTTCACTCTTTTATTTTAGCTTCCTTTTAGGTAAATTTAATTACATTTTCCTTAATTGCAGGCGAAAACCACAATACCCTTTTGAGGCTCTTAAAATTTAAGTATTTGCATGTGCGCATATATCATTTTATCCTTGGCTCTTTGTGGCTCAAGTTCGCCCTTGAGAGAAGTTAGTACACGTTATGTCTACGTGTACTTGTTGTCTCACCTGTTTGTGACAAAAGAGCTGCGTGCGATGATGAAGTTTGCATATGTACACCGAAAAATAATAAGGTAAATCCTTATTTCAAGGATATCCATTATAAGTAGTTAGAGAGCCACAAATCACTTAATTTTAAGAATTCTATCATAAAGGTTTCTAAAAGTATGCAACAGCTTAGTTGAATTCTTTATTGCATACTTTCAGACACCTTAATAAACGATTTTAGATCCCCTCTGTAAAAACCTTCATTAATTGAGATTAAAGTAACATAGCATATCTCATCCATATATCGTTTATATATCTCTAGTAATTTTCTGTATGTGTATTTCTAGGCGTGAGTGAGTTCCATCTTGTGGTTGAGGCCCCGCAAAAACAGATCTGGGTTGGAAAGCCACAGCATACTTGGCCCACCTTGATGGCTGTTGGCCTTCTGGAGGTGTCAGTAATGTTGCGGTCGACTATGTGTCGCATTTATTAATCATGGACCCACTGACAAGGGCCTTCCACAGTGGGATACGAGAGCTGGGGATCTACAGCCGATGCTGGGACCCCGTTTCCAGAGTGGGAGCCTAATACGTGTGGGCATGCCTTGTGAAGTCGAGTGTCACGAGCAACTAATAGCAAAATAATTGAATGACACCAGCTTTCTTCTGCTGCGTGAAGGCATTTACATGTGGATGTGTACATGTGGACCCCATGAGCTGTATGATTTTGAAATTTCTTTATTAGAAATACTCTTTTTACGACTGAGTCGCTTTATTTGCACTTATCAACTCTTATGTGCGTCATAAACTGTTGGTGTTGCTCTTCTCGAACGAATTGAATTGGATCCGCGCATAGGCAATTTTAATTAAAAATGAACTCATGTAGCTACATATAGATCTATTTGTTATGGAACAGCCATCCCAACCGCACCATGTGCTGGGGGCACATCAATCAAGGCAGGAAAGTGTGGCCATGCGAGTGTTTATTTTCCAAACAATTTTTTCTGCTTTGCAGTCCGGGTCTAAATTAATTGTTTCTGAAATGCGTAGCCAAATAAAACGGGGGATGGTGCCAATCAAGCTAAATATATTTGGGGCTCCCTCCAATAAACATGGCTTTTACGGGCGCCATGTATTATTCAGTCCTCGAATGGGCATGAATATGGCCATTTCATTTTCACTCCATGCGAGGTGCGGAGCCATAAAGTGCGTTCTAGTGGCCACTAAAAGAGCGAAACACCAGCGGCATCGGAATGGGCCCAGATTGAGTACTCCCGTCTAGATTCCGACATCTCCTCCTGTCTAGTTCAGGATGGAGCAGGGGAAAGGACCAGGAGCAGGGCTGCGCACGTTAAAAGCCTCTTTATTGAACATTTGCGCCATTAGGCCCGCTTGCGATGCTGCCGCCTCTGCTGGCTGTCACAACGATGCTGGCATAAAAAACTCAACCGCCAAACGATGTTGTCAGTCATCCAGCCATACACGCACATCCACATCCACATCACCATCTCCATCCACAGCTCCCTGGCACATTTACCCACGTGTCTGCCTGCAGCAAGTGACGCCATTATGAAAATGTTGCGAAATGGCGCAAATGTGCATGGGGCTCATAACGAAATTAAGCGGCAGCATTACAGCCACTTTTTCAACACTTCCTGGAAAAGTGGCAACAAAGCTAATGTCGTTTTCTTTGAGGCTTCGCAGTGATTTCGTTAAAAAAAGATACATTGAAGTCCTATCAATCTTCCTGTCAATAAATATGATGTCAGACTAGATTCGATAACTTTAACTTAAAAAGTTCCAATACATTTTCGGATCTAATCACATTTTATTAATGGATTTTTAAGACCTAAATGAAATGTTTCAAGCAAACCATTCATGTAACACCACCTATCCCAGTTAACCGCAAATTGAAGATAGTTCTCCCAGATAATCCTTCCCGTTCACATCCAATTAGGGTTTCCTCAGGGTATCTACGTTGCCACACGGCCCGAAGAAGCCGCCGTTGTTATGGCCTCCATTACCATTCACTTGTGCTCAAGCCGCGCACCTTTGTCACCTTGTCGCAGGCAAATTGCTTCTATCTGTCCCACTTTGTTGGGCACTCGAGCATCTCAGCATCCGAGATTTTGGCAAAAGGGGGGCTGGGTGGTCCAAATGGACTGGAGGGGGCTGACAGCGGCCCTAGTTTAGGAGCGCATTAACTAAGTTATGGAGGAGAGCAGCTGCCATCGTTTGGGCGGCGTAAGCAGCCTCAAGCATTCAAGCTATTGACTTATTAATTAAGACAAAGCAGACAGCCCCAAATGTCAGTCCACGGTTAATGGAGGGGGAGATGGGATTGCACAGGGATCAGAAACAAGGCATATCATCCCTTATCACATTTATGACAGTCATGACCGTAACCAGAACCTCGGAATACGTCAATTTAAATGCCAAACGCGAAGTTGCCCGTCTTTTGAGGCACTCAGAGAAAGTTTTCCAATCTCCTACAAAAACCGACAAGTCCGCAGACTCCGTTCGAAAGACGTCAAATTTTGTAGCATACAGAACTTTTAGACACATTAATTTAGAAAACTTATCACTCGAACCGTACTACCATTTTCTCTCAGTGCCATGTTTTCACTCGCAATCCACCGCCAATGCATAGTCAAGTAGGCAGGGCAAAAATAGCGACACGAAGGAGCAGTTTGGGACTGACGGAGGACGAAGGACAACCTCAATCATGGGAATGCCCAAAACGGATATCCTCAGCGCGTTTTGCCCGACTCCGTGAGTTATGGAGTCGCCTGCATCCTGTTTCTGTCTGCATTTTGCTGCTGATGCCAGCAAAAAGCAAAAGCAAACCGGAGGAAAAACACAGAGTCGAGTCGAGTTGAGTCGAGTAAAGCGAGTCATATTGCCCACTTGGCTTTCGTTTTTATTTGCTGCTGCCTTCCGCATATATTTTTTCCATCTATTTTTTGGGTCCCCACATATTTTTGCGCTTAAGCTTCGTTATGGCTGTGCCACCCAGTTGAGTTGCTTCTCCTCCTGGCTTTCCCCGCTTTTCCACTTTCCCGCTTTCCCCCTTTGAGCCGTGTTAATTTCGCTCTGAATGCGCAATTTATTTGCGTTAAACTTGGACGTGCATGTGGGCGGTCGGTCTATCCTATATGTGGTTGGCTCTATTTCCCACTCCCCGGATTTTTACTTCGGCTCCGGCTGGGTGCGGCTTCCTCCTCCAACTGGTTGTTTGGCCGGGCAAAGGATCAACTTTTCGCCTGGCGCCCTGTGGCATTGCATGTCCTTTGCCTCCTCTGCCATGTAGTCGTACATACGAGCGTAGGACTCCCTCAAAATGTTTTCACTTTAATTTGCAGTCGCTGCAAAATTTTAATCAGCTCTCCCCCTTGCTGACTTTTTATGCTTTGTCCGCCTTTCTCTTCCGTTTTCCTATTTTCCGCTTTTCCTTGCATTATGAGTCGGTAATTAGAAATGCGAGGCGATTTAGTGAGCGGCACAAAAACTTTCCTGTTTGACTTGGGACAATTGCTTGAAAGGAAAGAGGAATGAAAAGCCTTTCACTTTGATCATTTTATAGGACTTAAAGGTAAATATATTAAATTAAAATTTATTCGTATAATAATAGCAATAGCAGCTGAATTGCGGTAGTCACCTACAGCCCTTTCCCAACTAGCCCCATCTAGAATAATCTAGTTTAAGCTCGTTGGGAATTAGCCCAGTGATAATTTTCACATTTTAGGGCCCAAGCGTTACAAACTATTTGGTTTTCCCCCTCCAAAGTGATGTTCCCACCGCTTGACAAGCAAACACAATTCGTATTTGTGTCTACTTAACTGCTCAGTCGACCGCAAAGACGTGTCAGTAGGTGTTGTATAACACTGCAGTCGCATTAGCATTAATACATCGGGGGAGCTGATGGGGTAGGTGCCAGCAAAGACGACCACAAGTATGCGGTTAGTTGGGCCAATACTCGATTGACTTTGATAATCGAAAAGACCGGGAATCAGCGCAACAGCATCGGTAGTACATTTTCTGTCAAGTCATCGGATATCAGATACGAACCAGAATTACGCCTCCAGGTAACTAACGAGTAAAATAACTACACAGTTAAATAAGAGCGCATTTTATAACCAGAAATAAGTTTCCCATCCTAATTACCAAAGTATTTAGTTTAATGTAAATGTAAAAGAGACATTGTTTAAGACAGGTTCAGAAACCATTATAAAGCTTAAAAGTCTCTTTATTTTTTACTGCATTCTTTAGGCACCTTTACCAGCGATTTCAAAACACCAGTGATTTAAGTTTTCCTTCATTTTTTCCTGCGTTCTCCTGTCACCAGGCCACTAAACCAGTCCGTGAAATATGTGTAGCACCAGATTGTAGCCCGAATCTGGAGCAAGATAATCCATGTCCAGTATGCTGGACTGGTGTCATTTTTCCTGCTGGCAATCAATAAAGCAGCGCGCCAACAACTATGCCAAAAATGACCCAGTTTGGTGTTCTTCGGAGCCACAGACCCTCGGCAAGGACATCGATGCAGCTGCCAAGTGAAACCATTTTTCCTCCTGCCT